CCTTCCGACCACGGAGAGACTGAGTCCAGCTCGGCCTGGGCCTCCTCGGGACTCTGGAGCCTCGGCTCACCCGACTCCAGCTCGTCTGGGGTGGCTGCCCGCCTGCCTGGCCGCTCCACCAGCCTGGTGGAGGGTCGCAGCTGCGGCTGGGTGCCCCCTCCCCCAGGCTTCGCGCCCCTGGCTCCCCGTCCAGGCCCTGAGCTGTCGCCCTCACCCACCTCGCCTACTGCGACCCCCACCACCTCCTCCCGCTACAAGACCGAGCTATGTCGGACCTTCTCAGAAAGCGGGCGCTGCCGCTATGGGGCCAAATGCCAGTTTGCCCACGGCCTGGGTGAGCTGCGCCAGGCCAGTCGCCACCCCAAGTACAAGACGGAACTGTGCCACAAGTTCTACCTCCAGGGCCGCTGCCCCTACGGCTCGCGCTGCCACTTCATCCACAACCCCAGCGAGGACCTGGGTGCCTCCGGCCACCCCCACGTGCTGCGCCAGAGCATCAGCTTCTCAGGCCTGCCCTCAGGCCGCCGAACCTCGCCACCACCAGCAGGCCTAGCAGGCCTTTCCCTGTCCTCGTGTTCCTTCTCACCCTCCAGCTCCCCCCCACCACCACCCGGGGACCTTCCACTTTCACCCTCTGCCTTCTCTGCTGCCCCAGGGACCCCGGTGGCCCGAAGGGACCCCACCCCAGCCTGTTGTCCTTCCTGCCGAAGGGCCACCCCCAGCAGCGTCTGGGGGCCCTTGGGTGGCTTGGCTCGGAGCCCCTCTGCGCACTCCCTGGGATCTGATCCTGACGAATATGCCAGCAGTGGCAGCAGCCTGGGGGGATCTGACTCGCCTGTCTTCGAGGCCGGGGTTTTTGGGCCACCCCAACCATCTGCAGCCCCCAGGAGACTCCCCATCTTCAATCGTATCTCCGTTTCGGAGTGACAAGTGACTGCCTAGTGCAGATTAGCTGGATCTTAAGGGGGGCCAGTTCTCTTATGCTGTGGGTTCCACAAGGGGTCCCAAGGCTGCGGGGGAACTGAGGGACTCTTAATCAAGTAGCTTCACCCCACCTTCCAAAGTGCATTAACTCACTCCCCTGACCCAACGCTGGGGCAGGTCCCCGGTGTACAAGCTGTTCGTGCTGTTGGGGGAAGGAGTGTTTTCTGGGGTCTTAAAAAAATGTAGCAAATTGGAGGTAGTGAGGCCTCTTTCACCTCTCCCCCGCCCAATGCTGTGAATAATAAGCCCCCGCTGCCCCTTCCAATTTTTTCTAGATCCTGAGGTTCCGATGTCTGATGGTGACTGGATCCTCCCCTGAAGGGGAATCCTGGTGCTCAAATTTCCCTCCAAAAACAAGCAGCCAAAGCCGTTGCCAACCCCCTGCTCTCCCACCCACCCACCCACGCCTTTGGGCCTTTTATTTATGACGACTTTATTTATTCTAATAGATTTTATAGTATTTATATATATTGGGTCGTCTGCTTCCCTTGTATTTTTCTTCCTCTTTTTTGTAATATTGGAAACGATGGACTAATTATTGTTATAAGTATACTATAATATATGAAGTAATATATATTGTTAAAATTTTATTTTTTTTGGAATTTTTAAATAAAAGAAATCTGTGTGTAAACTGGAATCCTGGCTCTTCTGCGGTCTAGAGGTAGTGAGATGGGAGGGGAGGACGGTGTGGCTTTTTTTAGAAGCGGGATGGAATCAGCCGATAGCTCCTCCAAACCTCCCCGGAGCCGAGCCGCCAGCGGCGCTTACCTGGCAGGAAGTGACGTCACCTGGCCCGGCCATTCACCTGAGAGGGCGGGGCCAGGTGAGATCACCGGGTAGGAACCTGGAGAGCCAGTTCCCGGGGCGTGGGAGGCGCTCCCGTCCCGCCGGGATCCTTGACCCAGCTCTCGGCCGGGCGCGGGCGGGGACGGGATGTTTCCGTCCCCATGGGGCCGAGGGAGGAGGGCGGGGCGGAGTGGGGAGGACGGAATGTGCCGGGGCACGAGCCCAGGGCAAGCGAAGGAGGCCGGCGCGGCGGGTGGGGGAGGGGTCGTCCCGGAAGCCGGGGCGTCCTGGGGTCCCACCGCCCGGCCTTCCAGGATCGGAGAGTGTGGGGCACTCAGGCTTTCGGCATCTCGGCGGAGGCAGCTTGAAAGCCTTCAGGATTCTAGAATGTCAACACTGGGGAATCTCAGACTTGGTCTCGGCGACTTCTAGACCCTGGGTGTCCCAGACGTTTAGGAATCGCAGAACTGTAGCCTCTGGCTTTCCGGGCTCCTAGACCTTCGGAATTCCAGAATCTTGGCCTGTCGGGATTCGAGAAGTTCGGGATTGCGAGATCTCGACATTTCTGAGCCTTGGAAACTCGTGGTCTCGCGCCCCAGGCGGGGTGGGGGTCGCGGCCGCGCCGGGACGGGGCGGGGCCCCCGGGAGAGCAGCGTCCTCGGACCATACAAGGCAAGAGGCGGCGAGAACCACACTGGGGCGGAGGAGCCCAGCGCCAGGAAGCCGCCTCGCGTCAGTGCCTGCGCCCCGCCCCCTTCCGTCGCGGCCTCCTACCCCTCTTCCCCCCGCCCCTCACTTCCCTCTCCTCTCCCTACCTCACCCCTTCTCCTCCCTCTCAGTTCCTCCTGCCCAGACCCTCCTGCGCCGACCTTCCCCTCCCCTTCTTCCCCCACCCTCCCCAGCTCTTCCCCTCCCCCACCACTCCTCTCCCCTTCCCCTTTTTAATATCCTTACCTTCCAGCCGCCCATTCCCCGTCCTCTATCCCCTCCTCTTTCCTTCCAATTCCCCTCCTCCTCCCCCTTCTGGCCTCCTTTCCTTCTCTCTCCACCCATTCCTCCCCTGCCCACACTCTTCATCCCCTCTGTTCCACCTCCCTCCTCACCCCATTTCTCTTCACCCCATTCCCTCCATCGAGTGTTCTCCTCTTCCCCTCCCCTCCTCAGGCCTCCTTGACCTCTCAGCCCTCCTTGGCCCTCTCCCCTCGCCCACTGGCAGGCCCTGACCTTTGATCTCCTCTTCCACGAAGCACCCACGCCCCCGCGCCCCGTTTTGGGAAAGGGCTCAGGTCCCCATACTTGGAGAGGAGGTTTGGGAAAGAGAGAGAGAGAGAAACCCAGAAACCCAAAGACGTTGGAGAGGAAGAGCAAGCCACGCAGACATTCACAGGCACTGAAAGAACAAGAAGTAACACATCTCTGGTCCTTCCCTTTGCGAAAAACAGATTCTCTGCCCCTTGAAAACAAACGAACTAACAAATCCTCACTTGCAAAAATGGCACCTAACACCAGCTACCAGTGCCAAACACCTGAGAGTCATTCCTTTTGACTCTTTCCTCAACCCCCACACCCCAATTCAACGTCAGTCCCGTCTGATTCACCTTCTAAAGAGATATTACAATCCACCCCCCTGCCTCCTCCTCTGGCCCCCACCCTGGTTCTATCGGGCATCATCTCCCACCTGAACCATCATAGCAGCCCCTTCCTGGTCTCCTGGCCCAGGCCCCTACCCTCAGTCTCTTCCCCACTCCCCCACTAGGCAACCAGAGGGAAGCTGTCATGACACCTGAGTCAGATCACATAAAAGTCAAAGTCTTAAGTCCTCACCAGCCTACACAGCCTGGCTCTCATCTTTGATTATTCTTGCTCTAGTCACTCTGGCTTCCAAACAGTGCATTTGCCATACTTCAGCCACAGGGACTTTGCACTTCCTGTTCCCTCTGCCTGGAATACTCCCCCAGGTATCCCAACAGCTTACTCCCCTTCTTCAGGTCTCTGCTCAAATGTTTCTTCAGTGAGATGGTCCCTGACTACTATTATTGCAACCCCCATCCTCCCTACCTTTCTGTATTTTTTCCAAGATGTTTATCACCACCTAACACATCAAATGTACTTAGATCTTATGTTTATAGCAATCTTCCTCCCCCACTAGAATGTCAGATCCTCAGGGGCAGGGACTCTGACTTTGTCTTGTTCACTGCTGTATCACTCACACCTAAACCCTAAACCCAGGAACCAGTCACATAGTGGTCACAAGCTTCAGAATTTGTTGAAAAAAAAAATAAATCAATTCAGAAATGGGGAGAGAAAGAGAGAAAACTCCAAGACACACACACACACAAAATAGTGACTGTGTGAAGTAATGATGTTAATTAAACATTGTGGTAATTATTTTACAATTTATACGTATCTAAAATTATTATTTTGTACACCTTGGACTAACACAATGTTATACGGCGATTACATTTCAATAAAACTGGGGGACGGTGGGGGGGGGCGGGAATCCAAGACAAAAAGATGGAGAAGGAGACAGTATCACATAGGCAGTTTGCTGAGGACCCACAGCCTGACACATCTCCTACTGATTTGCAGACTCAAATTACCAGGCATCTAAGAGGCAATACCACCCCCTGGTGACCAAGAGGAAAACGGCATCTCCCCACAACAGAAAACACTCCCTAACAGATCGTCACCAGAGTCCCAGGATTCCTCCCAGCTTAAAAATTCAGGAGACCGAAACGTTTATTCTTTTAAGTGATATAGATGTTCGGGTTGATTAATAAGATGCATAAATTGACAAAAACCGGTACGAGAAAACTAAAAGTGCTCCAGGTGAGGATCGAACTCACAACCTCGGCATCGCTCCGCTCGCACTGTTATATAAGTACCGCGCGCTAACCGATTGCGCCACTGGAGCTCCGGCCGCACCCTTGCGCCGCGGGATCTTTCAGTCATTTCTGGCCACGTGACCTTGATGGATTGCTCCGCCTCGTCTTTGCATATACAAATAGGAATCTATGGATTGGCCAATAGGAGAAAGTGCGTTACCAGTTCCGGATTCTCACGCCTGGAAGGCTCTTGCTGTAAAAGGGAAAAGTCCGCGAGGCTTTTGGAATGTGGGGGTGTAGCCTGCCTGGGACTCGCCTTCTCATGAATATTCAGAAACCAGAGAGGAGGGGTCTTAACCCTTCGTTGGCTGGCCGGCCGGAAGGCGGCCCCTCCCCCCTGCGGGCGGGAACAGGATATGAGCCCGGGCGGCTGGGGGGAGGGGAAGCCCCAGGCGACCGCCCCCCGCCCCACTGCTGGGACCGGGCTCTCCAGCCACAGATGTATGTGGCGCCGCCGCCGCCGCCAGAGCCGGCGCCACCCATCCCGGAGCCTGAGGGGTCCACAGTCGCAGACTCCAGCCTCCCGAAACTGCACCGCGTCCTGAGGGACCCCGAAGCCCGGGCCCCAGCGTCCAGGCTAGAGGACCCCAGATATCCAGGTGCCCAGCGCCCCCTCCTGGAGGAGCTAGGAGTCCGGGACATAAGCGCCGCGCGACCCTGGAGGCCGAGCTTCCTGCACCCGGTTTCCAAGAATTTAGGATCCCAGACCGGAGATTCCCTCCAGAGTTTCCCAGAAAGCTGAGCCCAGGACTCCCCGGGTTTGAGGAACTTGGGATACGGACTCCTAGCGCCCCATCCAGCCCGTTTGGGGTTGAAGCGCCAACTACTTCAAGAGGACCCTGGAATTTGGGGCTCCCTGCGCTCCCTCCTGGGGTTGGTTTAATCCCTGCTCTTAGAGTTAGGGGAACTCAGGAATCCGGCCCCCCCACCCCACGGCCCCATCTAGAAGACTCAGGAATTTGGGTTCCCAGCACCCCCATCTGAGACTCAAGAATCGACGCCCCCAGCATCTTCCATTTAGAGGACCAAAGAAATTTGGACCACTGCACCCCATCCTCCGAGAGACCCCGGATTCTGGCTCACGGATCCTGAGAGCCCGAAGTTCAAACCCCTGACTTGCAGAGAGACCCAGGAGTCCCGGCTCTGCGCCTCCCCGGGGACCGTGCTAGGGTCGAATAGGAACTGGGCTGCCTCGGTTCGGGGCTGGAGACTCCCCGGGAGGTGAGGGGGGAGGCGAGGGGCCCCGACGGGTTGGGGGAGGGGGCGGCGCCGCTGCCGCTGAACAATGAGGGGGCGTGCCGGCGGGGGGCGAGCGGAGGAGCTGGCGGGAGTTGGGGGCTAGAGGGGTGTGGGGAGGCGCTGCAGGGGAGCTGCGGCGGTGGGAACAGTGAGTGGATCACGGAGGGACTGGCTGGAGGGGGTCGAGAACTCAGGGCCAGCGCCCCAACTCGCAGCTCTCCGCGGGGGAGGGAGCCGTCTGCAGGACCCTGGCATCCGGTCCCCCAGCCTCCTCCGCCCTCCCCTGGGACCCCGCGGCCTCCCGCCCACGGCTTTTTCCCAGCCCTGCCCCTCGCCCTCGGCTCCAGCCGGAGCCCAAACGTTCCCAGGATCCCTGAGCCTCCGGCCCCAGACACAGCAGACTCACAGCTTGGACGACTCTTTCGCTCGCTTTACTCTTTTGTCTCACCCTTTCCATCTTTTTCTCAGTGTTATCTCTCCTTGCTCCCCTCTTTCTATCACTTTGCCTCTGTCTCCCCCAGTAGTTACTCCCAGGGCCCCCTCCCAGGATTTAGACCACACTGTTCATTCTCAGACCCCAGCCTCTGAGCGTGGGGGGCAGGGAGGCCTATGGGGTCCTGATATCCAGGAAGGGGGTCTTTCTGCAGAAGCCGCTGAGCCACTCAGCCATGCCCGAAGGAGCCCGTGGACTGGGCCTGTCCAAACCCAGCCCTAGCCTCGGCCGCAGAGGTGAAGTGTGTGACTGTGCGGCTGTGTGTGAGACTCGGACAGGTGAGCCTGTGAGGGAGGGGTGGAGCCTGCTGGGCATTCATTCTTTCATGAAAGACACTGCAACGCTCTGGGGCTGACCCAGTGCTGGCAACACAGGCTGACCAAGACAGCCCCAGCCCTGCGTGCACAGAGCTTCAGGTCTGGTCCGGGAGATGGACCCATCCCCATACCATGATAGTCCAGAGGGGAAGCCCAGCATAGAATGGTCAGGGCTGGGATGAGGAAAGCCCCGGGGACTGTGGGAACTTAATCTGGGAGGTCCAGGGAGGCTTCCTGGAGGAGGGGACATCTAAACTGAGAATTGAAAGATGAGGAGGAATGAGTTGAGCGAGGCAAGGAAGAGTGTTCTGCACAGAGGGAACAGTATGTGCAGGGGCACAGAGGTGAGAAGAGGCTGCTTATTTGAGTAACTGAAAGAAGCTGAGTGTGACTGGAGTCCAGAGGGTAAGAAGTGGTGTGTCGGGAGGAGAGCAGACTGGAAAGGTCTCTAATGGCCACCTTGCACAGGCCCCTGTGGATCTGAGGAATCTGGACTTTACCCTGAGGGCAGGAATGGGGTTATACTCATGGGAGTGACAGAGTCAGGCCAATTAATAAAGTTCTCCCAGGATGACACATGGAGGTGGATTTAAGGAATGGAGACCAGCAGTCCAGAGAGGACCCTGAAGGGAGAGGACAGGGCACAGTGAGGGGAGCAGGGAGCCTATGGGAGAGCTGTTGAGCAGGGGTGGGTGAGCGTGGGGGCTAAGTGCACTAACTCAGTTGGGGAGACCCCCTGATCGCCTCTTCCACACCCCCAGCAGCCCCTGCAACCCCCGCCATGGCCTCCCCCCGAGGTTCTGGGAGCTCCACATCCCTGAGCACAGTGGGCTCAGAGGGGGACCCGGCTCCGGGGCCCACCCCAGCCTGCTTGGCCTCCAGGCCAGAGCCCCTTCCGGGGCCCCCCATCCGCCTGCATCTGTCGCCCGTGGGGACCCCAGCTTCGGCGAAACCCTCGAGGCTGGAGCGTGTGGCCCGTGAGATCGTGGAGACGGAGCGGGCCTATGTCCGGGACCTCCGCAGCATCGTGGAGGTGAGGCGGGTAGGCACCCAAGTGCAGTGGGGACCCAGGCCAGCCCCTCCACCCCTGTAACCCCAGTCATTCCCACAGGACTACTTGGGCCCTCTGCTGGACGGCGGGGTTCTGGGGCTGAGCACGGAGCAGGTGGGCACGCTGTTTGCCAACATTGAGGACATCTACGAGTTCAGCAGGTCAGGGACGGGTGGGATGGGCAGCAGCGCTGGCTCGGGGGGTCGGGGAGGCAGGCTGTGTTCTAACCCCAACCTTGGCACCCCACAGTGCCCTGTCCAGTCTGGAACACGGGGCGTCGTGACGTTGGGCAGGGGTCATGATGGGGAGTGAGCATCCAGAGTGGTGGAGGAGTGAGGTGGATGGGAGCCTGAGGGCCCAGCTGAGGTCCAGATATCGGGAGGGGTCCAGGCAGCGAGATGGGGCTATCGCTATGTCAGGTCTGGGATCGCGATGAATCCAAGGCTTGTGTGGGGCCTGAGGATCGTGACAGTGTGAGCATTTGTGTGACCAGCTCATCCTGGGAAACCCCTCAGTCCCAGACAAACCAGAATGGTTGGCCACTCAGTCCAAGGGGCATGACACCGAGTGTCTTGATGACACCTAATTACACTTATTATTATCATTATTATTATTATTTTTTGGCCGCACTGCTTGGCTTGTGGGATCTTAGTTCCCCAACCAGGGATTGAACCCAGACCCGGCAGCGAAAGCGCGGAGTCCTAACCACTGGACCACCAGGGAATTCCCTAATTACACTTAAAGTTACTGCAGGAGGTTCGTGAGTCACGACAAGGTCTCGGGGTCACAGTGGGATCTTAAGATCATCACAGCTCTGAGCGTCCTGACACCCCTCTCCCTGGGTTGTGCCATGAGACGCCCCAGGCTCATGCCAGCTGTGACAAGATCTGGGGCCGAGGAATGTAATAGTAACCAAGGACAAAGTCTGAGCAGGTTGCAGTCCCCCATGTCGCGATCAGAGGACCCTTCATATGGACATGACATCCCTTGAGAGATCTTGGCAGCCACCAGGGCCCCAGTCTCCTGGAGTCCTCCCATGGGGGGCTGGGGGGCAGGGCACCCCCTCACCCTCCCTCTCCCCTCCACAGCGAGCTCCTGGAGGACCTGGAGGGCAGCAGCAGTGCCGGGGGCATCGCCGAGTGCTTCGTGCAGAGGGTAAGGCGAGGGCCTGGGCTGGGGCCTGGGTAAGGGGGGAGCAGGCCTGGGCTAGGCGTTGCGGGGGGGTCATGGGGAGTCGGGAACTGAGGTCTCCCTGACTCCCTTGCTGCCCACAGAGCGAGGATTTTGACATCTACACGTTGTACTGCATGAACTACCCGAGGTGAGGGCCAAGGAGCCCCTGCGGGGCCCCAGGCTGTGCCCACGAGCTGATGTACCAGCCAAGCTCCCTCCACCCGGACCCATCCAGCTCCTGCCATACCGTGACAGCGTCCACCCTCTCCCTAACCCACCCTGACCCGGGTGGGCCCCTGAGAGTTCCAAAACCCTGGCCACTCCCTGACCCCTCCCAGCCTTGCCCACTGTAGCTGCAAGTCTCCCTGACCTGTGCTGTGCCCCCAGCTCCCTGGCCCTGCTCCGGGAGCTGTCAGTGTCTCCGCCAGCAGCCCTGTGGCTGCAGGAGCGCCAGGCCCAGCTCCACCACTCACTGCCCCTGCAGAGCTTCCTGCTGAAGCCTGTTCAGCGCATCCTCAAGTACCATCTGCTGCTGCAGGTCAGCTGTGGCCCCTGGGGGGCTGCTTGGGGAGGGGCAAGGTCCTGTCCATTGGCCACCTGGTGGAACATCTGGAGAGTGGACCGTGGATGAGTTGGGCAAGGCCTGGGGAGGCATCCGGTCCCTAGAAACTGGGCAGGTGCTTGGGGCAGGGTCTTGCTGGCAGTGGGGGCTGGCGCCAGCTGATTTCACTTCGTGTCTTTGCCTGTTTGTCTCTCTCCGTCTCTGCCCCTGCCTTTATTTCTCTCTCTCTCTTATCCTTGTCATTCTTTCCTCCTCTGTTCCTCTTCCACTCCCTGGGTGCCTGGTGGCTGCCCTCCAGGAGCTAGGCAAGCACTGGGTGGAGGGCCCAGACGCCGGGGGCCGCGAGTTGGTGGAGGAGGCTATCGTGTCCATGACAGCGGTCGCCTGGTACATCAATGACATGAAACGCAAGCAGGAGCACGCTGCGCGCCTCCAGGTGACCCCTGGGAGAGGGCTGGGACCGGCGGCATGAGGGGCAGTGGGTGTGATGGCCTTTGCGGGGTTCGGTCCGTGCGTTGGAGGGCGGGCTGGGACAGCGCAGTCTGGTTGCTAACCCCCCTGTGTTGGTATGCGTACACCGCCCACCGGTGTGTTCCTGTGCCCGCTGCACCCGGCGTGGTCCCGGCAGGAGGTGCAGCGGCGGCTGGGTGGCTGGACCGGTCCGGAGCTCAGTGCTTTTGGCGAGCTGGTGCTGGAGGGCGCATTCCGAGGTGGTGGAGGGGGCGGCCCCCGACTTCGAGGGGGTGAACGGCTGCTCTTTCTATTCTCACGGATGCTGCTCGTGGCCAAGCGCCGGGGACCAGAATACACATACAAGGGCCACATCTTCGTGAGTTCAGGGATGGGGCAGGGCCAGAATGTTACCTGCCAGGTATGTTCTATACACGCATACCTGTAGACCTAAAGGCTGGGGGCAGGATCCGCAAGGAGGGACAACCCAGCTTAAAAGGGCCATGTTTTCTTGAGTCCGAGGTGGGGGGGCAGGGTTTAATAAGGAGGGGTGAGGCCAGTGGGATGCACGGGTGGTGCGGGCCTGGAGGGGGAGGACCTGGATTTGCCCACCAGACAAGCATCTTCATGGGCAGGCATGTCTTCTTGATCCAGATGAGGCGGGGAGGGCTGGTGAGGGAGAGCTGAGCCCAGCCTGGTGGGGAGGGTTGACAGGGGGAAAGGGGACATCTTTCTAGGGGGTAGGGACCCAGATACACACGAGGGGCACATGGATGAGTCTGAGGCCTCTGAACTTGCCTCCCCTCTCTGCCCCTCATCCAGTGTTGCAACCTGAGTGTGACTGAGAGCCCTCGAGACCCTCTAGGGTTCAAGGTGTCTGATCTGACCATTCCCAAGCACAGACACCTGCTCCAGGTGAGCAGAGGGTGGGGCTGGGCGGGCAGGGATCCCCCAGTCCCTAGACCTCACCCCTGGCTCCCCATTCCACCCCACCCTGCCCCCAGGCCAAGAACCAAGAAGAGAAGAGGCTGTGGATTCACTGTCTCCAGCGCCTCTTCTTTGAGAATCACCCCGCCTCCATCCCTGCCAAGGTACAGCTCCTGCCACCGCGGGGGGTCCTCAGGGTGCTGGAGACTCCCCTCCCCCAGTAACACCGAAAAACCCTGACTGCAGGGGGTGCCGTCTTAGAACATGGTAGTTAAATTGCAGCGTTACGTTGCCGGGGTTTCAATCCCAGCTCCATCACATCCCTGCTTTGTGACTTTAGGCAAGTAATTTAACCTCTCTGGCTTCAGTTTCCTCACCTGGAGGAATGACAGCATTAACCTCATAGGGTTGCGGTGAGGATTAGTCATTATCAGTCGTGTAAGGCACCTGACATGTAGTAGCACCCTTTTTTTTTTTTTTTGCGGTACGCGGGCTTCTCACTGTCGTGGCCTCTCCCGTTGCGGAGCACAGGCTCCAGACGCGCAGGCTCAGCGGCCATGGCTCACGGGCCCAGCTGCTCCGCGGCATGTGGGATCTTCCCGGACCGGGGCATGAACCCGTGTCGCCTACATCGGCAGGCAGACTCTCAACCACTGCGCCACCAGGGAAGCCCAGCAGCACCCTTCAATAGGACCGTGACTGGGGTGCTCAGGGACCAGCCCCCTCATCCCTCATCCTTGTCTCTTTCAGGCAAAACAAGTTCTCCTTGAAAACAGCCTGCACTGTGAGTTGGGGCCCTGTGTTGGGAGGATGTGGCAGTAGAGGAATCACTTCTAAGAAAAAGTAAAGTGTTAGCCCCAAATCTCTCCCTGCAGGTGCTCCTAAAAGTAAGTCTATCCCAGAGCCCCTGACACCTCCACTTGGGTCTCCCCGACCTCGAGATGCTAGAAGTTTCACCCCTGGACGAAGGAACACAGGTAAAAGAGATGGAACCCTGAGTTCCCTCTCCCTCCACTCCTCCCCCAGAAGCCTGGAGCTGGGCTCCTAACAAGGTTCTGATCCGCCTCTCCCATAGCTCCATCTCCAGGACCCGCCACTACCCGCCGTGGCCGCAGACAGTCTGGTGAGTACCCTTCACCTAAAAGTGAACTAGGCATCAGGTGGGACCTGGCCCCTGACATCACTGTGTCCTCCCTCCAGAGCCCCTGAAGGACCCTTACGTCATGTTTCCACAGAACGGTGAGGGACCACCCACCCCGGCCTGCTCCGTCCCTGTCTGTCTGTCTGTTCCCGGGGATGCCCAGAGTTCGTGAGGGAGGGCTGATAGGGGCAGCTCATCAATGACAAGGAATAACACTTGTTCTTACATCTCACTCTTTTCTCTTTCTCATGTCTTCATCCCCAGCTAAGCCTAGACTCAAGGTGAGAAACATCCTGGGACAGGGTTTGTTTTGGGTCCTGGACTCCTGGGTCTGAGGGAGGAGGGAGCTTGGGTTCCAAAGTGCTGGGTCTGAAGAAGAAGGGGGCTGGGGACTGGATTCCTCTGTCTCAGGGAGGAGGGGGATGGGGCCCTGGACTCCTGCCCTCCTTCCTTTCCTTCCTCACAGCACACTGGCAGTGAGGGGGAGCTCTACCCGCCCTTAGAGCCTCTGCCACCAGTTCCAGCTTCTGAACCCCCTGAGGACCTGGAGGACACTGGGCCCCCCACGCTGGACCCCTCTGGGACCTCAATCACTGAAGAAATCCTGGAGCTGCTAAACCAAAGAGGCCTCCGGGATCCAGGGGTGAGTCGGGCATCCCCTCACGGTGTCCTTGGGGCTCTGGGCCTGGGCAGGCACAGCCTGGGGGTCAGGGGGGCCAACCCACCCTGATACCTTGGGCTTCTTCCTCAGTGCCCACTACAGCCACCCCCCCCATGACATTCCCAAGTTCCCCGGAGATTCCCAGGTGCCAGGCGACAGTGACACCCTCGCATTCCAAGCCCTGCCCAGCCGGGACTCTTCAGAAGAGGAGGAGGAAGAAGAGCTGGATACGGATGAACGGGGCCCTTCCCCACTCCACGTCCTAGAGGGGCTTGAAAGTTCCATTGCGGCTGAAATTCCTGACATTCCCAGCCTTTCCAAAAGTCCTGATGTACCCAACCTCCCTGAAATTCCCAGCCTTTCTGAAATTCCCCAAATGCCCCGCCTTCCCAGTCTCTCTGACATTTCCAGTGTTTTTGAAATGCCCTGCCTTCCAGCCATACCCAGTGTCCCCGACATTCCTAGTCTCTCCAACGCTCCCACCCTCCCCTGTGACTCCTGGCTCCAGAGACCTCTGCAGGAGCCGGATGAGGATCTAGCCACCAGGAGAGAGCTCTTCCCTGGAAGCAGTTCTGGAAAACTGGGAGAGCCCTCCTCAGAAAGCAGGGCAGGCCAAGAGGAGGGTGAAGGAGTATCATACCCAGCTTTCCAGCCCCGGGATGTCACCCAAGGTCAGGAATTCCCAGATGAGCTGGAGTTCCGCCCTTGCTCAGAAATCCGGAGTGCCTGGCGGGCACTGGAGCAGGGGCAGCCGGCCCGGCCAGGTTTCCCAGAGCCGCTGCTGATCCTGGAGGATTCAGATCTAAGTGGAGGCAGCGGAAGCGGGAAGGCAGGAGCCCCAACTTCGGAGAGGTCAGCGTCCCGAGTGCGAGAGTTGGCCCGGCTTTACAGCGAGCGGATCCAGCAGATGCAGCGGGCTGAGACCCGGGCATCAGCCAACGCCCCCCGCCGCCGGCCACGGGCTCTGGCCCAGCCGCAGCTGTTGCCCTGCCTGCCCCGTGAGCAGGCTGAGCCAGGTGAGGTCCAGGTATGTGGTTGGCAGACGCAGCCCATGTGGGGGCATCCATCCTAACTCTCTCCACCTTGCTTTTCATACAGGGCCCCTGCCTGCCTTTGGACATGTGCTCGTATGTGAGCTGGCCTTCTCGCTGACCTGCGCCCAGGAATCTGTCCCCCTAAGCCCTGCTGCCCAGGTTCAAGCTGCCACAGCTGTGACTAAGCAGCGAGGCTGCCTGGACGGCCAGCGTCTAAATGTTTCAAGTTTGCCTGAGCAACACCATCTGGGCATCCAGGTTCCAGCTGCTACCCCTCTGCCTGAGCAAAGAGGCCTCTGGAATATCCGGATTCCAGCCACCACACCTTTGCCCAAGCAGGAAGACCCCCCCAACGGCCAGATGCCAGCTATTACAACTTTGCCGGATCAAGAAGGCCACCCGGAAATCCAAGTTCCAGCTGCCACTCCTTTGCCGGAGCATAGAGGCCACGTGGATATACCGGTTCCATCTACCACCTCTTTTCCTGAGCAAGGATGCCACGTGGACATCCAAGTTCCAATCACCCCAGCTTTGCCTAAGCGGGGAAGTTGCTCTGATGTCATGGCTTTAGCCGCCACTCCTACGCCCAAGCGAGAAGGCCACCTGGACAGCCAGAGCTCAACCAACACCCCGTTAACTAAGCACGGAGATTCTAGGGCTGTTCAGTCCCCAGCCACTGCCTGTGGCCAAGCCGTCGATCCTTTGCTTATACACAGAAGCAGCCTAGACCCTCAGATCCCAGCTGACACCCCAGTGCCCTTGCAACACGACCTCCCTGACATTCAGGTTCCGGGTACCTCACCTTTGCCTGCACATGGAGGCCACCTAGACCATCAGACCCCAGCCAACACTCTGCCGTCCTTGCCCCGGGACCTCCCACACTTTCAGGTTCCAGCTGCCGTACCTTCCCCGCAGCCACAAGGCCTCACGGACACCCAGGTCCAAGCCCTCCCACCTTTGCCCCAGCAGGGAGGCCTCCCGGACATCCAGGGTCCAGCTGCTGCGCCTCTGCTTGAGGAGCAAAGCCTCACAGACCTCCAGGGTCAGAAACTGACACCTTTGTTGGAGCAGAAGAGCCTCACCAACGACCATGTTCCAGCTGCCCCACCTTTGCCTGAGCAAGGGGGCCCTCGGGACATTCAGGGCCTGTTACCCACCCGAGTCCAGACCACGGTGGTTTTGTCTAAACAAGGAGGCCACGCGGTCTCTCACGTTGCCAGGTCAGAGTCGTCAGACTTGAGCCCACCCCACAGTCCCCCACTCACAACCCGGCAGCTCCTGGGCTCCAACGCAGCTGCCCTGTCAAGATACCTGGCAGCCTCATACATCAGCCAGAGCCTGGCGCGGCGGCAAGGGCCTGGAGGAGAGGCTCCCCCGGCCTCCCGGGGCCCTTGGCCCTCCTCCGCCCCCACGTCACGGGCACCTTCACCGCCACCCCAGCCTCAACCCCCAGCGCCCCCAGCCAGGAGGCTCAGCTATGCCACCACGGTCAACATCCACGTCGGGGGTGGCGGGCGGCTACAGCCAGCCAAGGCCCAGGTCAGGTTGAACCACCCTGCTCTCTTGGCAACCCCCCAGGAATCAGTGGGCCTTCGCAGAGCCCAGGGGGCTCCCGACGCCCCTTTCCACATGTGAGCCAGGATGTCGCGCTTCTTGAAAAGCAGAGACTTCAGCCAGATGCCACAGACCCTCAGAAGTCACCCGGAAGTCCAGACGCTGAACACAGGTCTAAAAATTGCCACAGCTTTCCAACACCTGGCGTCTTTGGCACATGGGCCTTATTACTTAACCTGGATTAACCCAACAGGGATGGGGAAGGGGATGTCATTAATATTTTGTTAATATTATGAAATTATGTATCTTTCCCATTCTGGGGGCCGTGGGGGATGACAGAAGACGACAATGAATGGGAAGGTCTGATACAGCACAAATCAGTCGTTCTGAAAATTTGGGGAATCTCAAACTCCTTTGAGAATTACTGAAGACTGGACCCATTACAGTTTGGTGTGTGATTCTAGAGGGTTTATGAACTGCTTGATGCCTATCTAGGAAGGCCAAGTTAAGAAGCTTTCTCCCAAGCAGATCCCTCAAAATTCATTCCCTTAGCAGTTTATCCAGTTGATGTGTCCCACCATCATCTATTCCTCTCATCTACTTAGCCAATTCTATCCACCCAGCTATCTCTCCGTCATCTCCCTCTGTCCATCCGTCTTCCAAACCATCATCCCACCCATATGTCTTGCTTTATTCAACTTTCTCTACCCTATTCATCCATCATCCTACCCCACCCCCCATCTAGCACCCGTTCCTCCGTCAATCCACTCATCTATTATCCCACGTGTCCATCTTCTCCAACCAACTCTCTCCATTCATCCATTTGTCCCTCCATATTCCCATCTATGTCCATTCATTCGTACATCTCATCACTCAACCATCTCGTAATCCATCGAGCCAACCGTCCATTTAACCATCTCTGCCACCATCCATCCAACCATTTTAATCTCTTTACATCCATCCCTCCTTAATTGGATTCTTCTGGGTCTTGGTACTACAAAATTTCGGAGACAAGTTCCCCGCTAATGCCAAAATGGATCAGGTTTGGGGTTCTGGCAGAAGGGTCCCACATCTGCCTTATTTCTCTTGGCAACCACTCTCCACCCTCCTAAGTATTCCAGTTCTCGTACCCACCCATCGAATTCTTCTATCAGATCTCTTTACTCCCTCTCTCTAGTTGGGGGCCTCTACAGTGCCTCAATATGCCCCCACACCCCAAAGTAATTCAGGTCTTAGGGACAAAGGCTTTTATATTAACATCGTTCTGTCCTCCTCCCAGCAGTGGTATGCCCAGTGAGAAGCACAATTTAAGCAGTTTCTTTGGTCATATTAGCTGCTTTTATTGAACACTTAACCTCTTGTGCTTTAGTGCATCATCTGTTTAGTCTTCCCTGGAATTCTCTGAGACACCACAGCATCATGGCTGAGTTGAAGTCCCAGCTTTTCTAGTACTTGGTGTGTTAACTTCCCTCCGAGCCTCGGTTTCCTCATCTGCACAATGAGGACAGCAATACCTGCCTCGCAGGATCATCGGAAAGTTTCAGTGAGCGTATCCTTACTTCCCAAATGTATTTAAGCCTGACTCACCGAGGCAGTGTTCAAATCAGATGCCCCAGGATCTAGTCCCAACCCATGGAATGAGAACCTCCAAGGCAGGAGCCTAAGAGTCTGGTTTTAACAATCAATTAACGGCAACAACAAAAAATGCTGTTATTGAGTACTAACTGCATACCACAGGCATTAGTCACTTTATTTGAACTCGTTCACTCTGAGTCCTCACAACATCCCTAAAAGGCAAGTGAGGATGATTCTTACCCCCCACTTTAGAGATGAGGAAACTGAGGCACATAGAGGATAAGGGACTTGCCCAAACAAGTGGGAAGGAGCAGAGCTGGGACTCATCCACACTGCCAAGCCCGTCGGCACTTTTACTTGAGTGTGTCAGGCGCTGTTCTTGTCACTGGGGGCACAACAGGGAATAATTCCTTGCCCACAAGGGGCTTGCAGCCTGGTGCTCCAAAGGCCCTAGGTAATTGGTCATTAGCTGGGTAAAGTGAGTAAGTCCTGGCTCAGTAAGCGTCAGCTGCTGGCTTCTATTCAGTTATTGAGTGGTTACCATGCCATACACCAGAGCCTAGGCTGAGTCGGCTTCTTGGCCTGGACCTGCTCCGCTGCAGCCTCCCGACAAAGGTCAGGGCTGAGGCTGGCCCTCCCCTCTTCCGCCCCCGGCTGCACATTCCCAGCTGAAAGAAAGTTCCCAGCCTGGCCTGGGCTCCCAGCGGTGCCGGAATTCCTGGTATTTGAGGAGGCAGCAGGGAGGAAGGAGGCCATCTACTCCAAGGCTTGGAGTGAGGAAGGAGAGGCAAGCCCCCTCAGCCACTCCAGATGCATCCCAGCTGTGCCTCTGGGAGGGGGCTAAGAGTCTCAGTAAGGGGGTCTCCGGACCCCGTGCGAAAACCCTGGGCACTAGGCCTGCCTCGGGCCCTCCTACTCCCTGCCCCTGAATTCCATTCCTCCTGCCTGCCTGACTTCTACCTCTGCTTCATAACCCCAGCTCCAACGCCTCCTCAGGAATACCTTTCTTGCTGGTCTACTACAGCCTGCCTTTTGTAAACTGTCTTTAGAGCTGCAATTAAGACAGGCTTGAAAAGGGAAAGGGCAGCTGTCCACTGCCTTCTTTGGGACACTGCTGCCCTCCTTGGGATGTTTAGGTTAATGCCAGCCAAACCCAGTTAACCCGAGCTAACTCCAGCTCCAGTGCAAAACTTGGTAAGTTATTTAGCCACTAGGCTAACTTTCTCACCAGCTAACACGAAGACACCTGCCTGTCGCCAACCTCACAGGGATGTTGTAAACACTTAGCCTGGCAACCAGATGGAGCTCAATCAACCCCATTCTCCATCTGTAAGAAGCACTTTGTATGTTTTCTCTGTACACCAGTGCTGTCCCACAGAATTTTCCTGTGACAATGTTCTCATCAGTGCAGCCCAGCTTGGCGGCCACATGTGGCTACGGTTTTGGTAGGGCAGACATACAAAAAGGGCAACTAGTCAGTAAATCCCAAGGTCCTTCTTTTATAAAGAAAATTTGTGAAACTCTCCTTGATTAAGTGTGTAATGATGTTCTTGCCAGTACTCAGCAGGGGGAGTAGTGAGGAAGCCCACTTGGGGGCAGATCGCTTAAGTATCCAGGTTGGCTGCAAAGGCTGGTATGGAAGCACAGATGCCCTTCCCACCCCAATGATGTTCACTAGCTTCCTTTAAAAATGGGGAAAGAAACTGAAGGCAACTTAATTCACAAACAGTACTTCCCAATACGTATACCAGGGCCATCCCACAGAACTTTCTTCCATGATGGAAATGCTCTATCATCTCTGCAGCCCAGTGGTAGCAACTGAGAGCCCACCTAAGTCAGCTATTATCATCCCATGGCAGACACAATAGATGAACAAGTCCTCAGACCTACATGTTCCCAGGCCCATAAGGACAGTCACCACACTGAGCATAACTGGGACCTACTTTAAGGAGGCCATGGGGGTGTGGCAGACTTTCTCAGGAGTTATTGTTGACATCCTGAAGGATGTGGCCAATCAGGGGGAAATCATGCACCCATCCACAATGGGGTGGTTACAGCCCCCTGCCCCAATCTCAATCCTATCTACACTACAGGTTGGCATTAAGGAAAATTCCTTTCCCAACACAGGCATGGATGGCTCTTAGTTGCTGACTTAAAGACTCCATCCAGGCAGTTTCTCCTCACTTTGTAGTAAAGATTATTGATCTTACACATTTCCCCTGCTCTTCTCTGACATGTCATTAAAACAAGAGCAAAGAGACTTCCCTTGTGGTGCAGTGGCTAACACTGCACATTCCCAATGCAAGGGGCCTGGGTTTGACCCCTGGTCAGGGACTAGATCCCACATGCCACAACTAAGACCCGGCACAGCCACATAAATAAATAAATATTTAAAAATAAATTAAAAAATAAAACAACAGCAAAAAGATTGGGGGAAAAAAAAAACTCACAAGGATACCCCACACAACCAATGACCTAGAACCACGCCCACCTCAGCTGTGCCAACACACTGGACTCTACTGGAGGTGCACAGAAACTGAGACCAGGGCTGCTCCCACCAGCCTCTCCAACCCAACCCATCTCCTACCACGAGTGGTAGCCTCTAGAAAGGCTTCTGGGGCATCTCCTGTATTCCTTTTAGACAAAGACCACCTCAGAAGACCACAGCATAGTCCTTGAAACCTTAAATCCCGTAACATTTTTATTATAAAGGTGAACCCTGATCTTTACGACAGGCTTAACGGTAGGATTTCTGGTAGCGAGCACGGGCACCAGGACCTCCAAACTTTTTGGATTCGCAGCGACGGGGATCAGCTACCAGCAGGGTCCGGTCATACTGGATGAGGATGTCTTTGATCTCCTTCTTGGAAGCCTCATCCACGTCTGGGGATTAAAGTAGGGGTAAAGATTTAGATACGCCAGGAAGTGTCCTCCTGCTCTTTGTGACTAAATGCAAGAGTGCCAGAGCTAGACCTTGACCTGCCCCGCCCCCCAACCTGATGGGAAGGACCCACCCTCACTCACATTTCTGGTAATAGGCCACCAAGGCTTTGGAGATGGACTGGCGGATTGCTGTGAGAAAGAAACACACACACAAAAAAGGTACATCAACTTTAGGAACACCCAAGGGTAGGACCCACCTTCCACCCATGTGCCCAGTTCCTGGGACTCACCATAAATCTGAGCTACATGACCACCACCCTTCACTCGGACACGGATGTCAACACCAGCAAATCGCTCCTTGCCCAGAAGCAGAACAGGTTCCAGTAGCTAGAGCAACAGGAAGCATGACAGGATTTTAGATCACAACCTGGGCAGCCAAGCCACCTCACCGAACATTCCTCCACAACTCTCTCCAAGTAGCTTCGGGCACCACTGGCCTCAAAGTATTAGTGGAAGAGGGTTGGGCTGTTACTCAAGGCACTCTGCACAGCCAGCAGAGCAGGGGCGTTTCCAAGACAGAAGAGATCGCTGAAGGCAACCTGAAACTTGAGGTGGGCTCCCTCCTGTGTTTCCCTCTGGACATCAGATTACCTTTCTTTAAGACTGATTCTTAAAAAAAAAAAAAAAAGACACCCTCCTGAAAAAAAAACTGATTCTTAGAATGCTGGCACTTTAGCCCAACACTAAGGAACACCTCTGCAGCCACCAAGGCTGCCCCAAACAGTGAAAAGCCACTCCTGAGCTACGTCACGTGCTTTCCCCACCTGAGCTCTGTGCCCTCCCTTTGAGTCTCACAGATTTCCAGAAAAATTACAACTATGCTATAACCCTATTTTGTTTTACCTACTTCAGGCCTCAGCTCACAAGTCTCCCCCAACCCTGCTCTGAAGCTTCCACCCAGGTTTGAGCCAGAAACCTTCTCTGGGCTCCTGTACGCCAGCTTTGGCTACTTTGGAGCAGTGTCTGGTACTGGGGTCCAATGTGTCTCCCCCACTGGATTGGGAGCTCTGTGGCGGCAGGCCCTGAAGCCATCAGGGTCACTGATTTGTCTCCAGCTCTCAACACAGGCTGCACACACAAAGCCTTCGAGTAAACTGACAGTAAGAATAAGCCACAATACTCAATTATCTGCTATACCAAGGAATCTCAGACACCACCTTATTAAGTTTTAACTAACCCTGCAACGGAGATGTTATTCTTCACCTTTAAAAGCAATAGACTTAACAAATGCATTCTCACACACACCAACAACCTCACAAGGAAAATCCAATTTACCCTCACAACAGTCCTCCAAGGTAGGAATTATTCCTATTTTACAGAAAAGGTAAGTTACTGCCTCAAATCACTCAGCTAGAAACGGCAGAAATCAAACTCGTATCTCTTTCCATTCTGAGCCAAAGAAACTGAGACCTTCCAATAAAACTTTATTCAGGGAAAAAAAAAAAAAAGAAACTGAGGCTCAGACAGAGAGAGGAGGAACTCCTTTCACAGCCAAGCAGAACAAACTCAAATTCTTATAATGCTTATTAAGTATGTACAATATTCAAACCCTACTTTATTCACAATGTTTCAAAGAACAAAACATTGATTCCTGTTGTCGGAGAGTGTATACTACCCTAAAAGTCAAAACATTAAGAAATAAACAACCTTATATCCCTATTAACTTATTGCAAGAAATCAGACCACATAAACTTGCGTAATCCCCATGCCATCCGGTCCCCAAAACTGAGTGAGCTTCCAAATAACCCAGTTAAGCACCTGCTTAATCTTCAACATCCACGTTTTCACTCTCAATTCAAGCTTTTGTAACATCGCCTGAACCCCCAACACCCGACTCCATTCATCGACAAATACCCCATTTTTCTGTCCCCTACTCAGCTTCTAAACGTCCCATTATTGACACCAGACCCTTCAGCTTCCAAGATCGACGAACTCCAGGAACCCACTTACTCCAACATCTCCATCTCCAGAACCCTCCACTCAACCCAAACAACCATCCTTAATTCCGGTACCTTGTACTGCAGCGTGCGAGGTTCGATCATCTCCAGGGGACGCCCGTTTACCTTGATGAGGCCGTTACCTCGTTTGCAGTGAGCCACGGCCGTGGCCGTCTTCTGCGGAAAGCGAAGGGAAAACAACGGAGCCACGTGAGCTCCGGGCCCCGGCTCCCAAGTCGACCCCAGAACCCTGCCCACAAGCCTCTCCCCGACCCAGGCCTCCTCTCGCCCCTACCATCGGGAACCCGGCTTACCTTGCGTCCGAAGACCTGCACCGACTGCAGAGGGCCCTTAGCCGGCATGGCTGCGAGCGTTCACAGGAGCTCTTCACCGTGCGGCGCCGCAACCGGAAAAGGAAAATGCGGGTCCAACCTGGCTGCTTTTCACGGTCTGCGCAGGCGCGTTGTGCTCACCTTCGCGACAGGAGGGAGCTTTACGGCTAGTGGGCGGGGCTTTGGATTGGCGGCGGGAAGGTGGGTCCAGAGAGCGGAGGGGGCGGGCCCCGGGAGCGGAAGGGGCGGGGCTTGAAGGGTGTCGGGGGGCTGACAGAGAAGGGTGCGGACAAGACGAAATTCACATCCTTGGTCTTCCTTGATCACCGCCAGTTCTCATTTGCATTTAGGCTCTTTAATAACCTCCCTCCACTCCCATACGCAACCGATTATCGCCCTTTTCGAAGGAGGTTTGTGTTACTGCTTCATCATCGGCAATCTTCTTCCCCTCTAGAGTTCCCTTCTGAGAAACCTGGCAGGATTCAGACTCCCCCTACGTCCTAGAACCCACTTCCTTAGAGAGTCCCCCCAGAATCCTTTTCCTCTTAGAGGCCCCTACCCCAGAGTCTGGCTTTCACCAGAACTTCCTTTCTTTTAGAGTCTCCTCCTGCCAGAATTTTTCTCTAAGAGGTCTTCTCCCAAAACCCCCTCCTCAGAATCCTCACACTAGACTCTTTCTTTCCCTGAATCTCCCTCCACTCAGGGCCCTTTCCCCCCGCCATAATTCTCCCCAGAATCTTTCTCTCCTCAGACCCACGAGCCCTAGAATCCCCCTTCTTCAGAAGCTCCTCCCCCAATCTGCTTTTCCCGCAACTGTCCCCCTAGAACCCGTTTTCACAAAATCATCACTTTCAGAGCCCCCTCCCTCAAAATCTACCTTTCCCAAGAATTTGTTTTCCTTCAGAGCCTCCTCTCCCCAGCAATTGTCTCCCCTGAAATTTGCCTCCCCACTAGAATCCCCCACTCCTTGGAGACGCTCCAAAATTCTACTCTTCAGAGTCTCTGAGAACCCTCTTTCTCCGGACCCCCCCAAATCACCCTCCTCTCTAGGCTCCTCCCACACAGAATTCTCTATCCCAGGAGTCCCCAACCCTCAGGATCTAACGCCAGGTGATCTGAGGTAGAGCTGATGTAATAATAATAGAAATAAAGTGCACAATAAATGTAATGCACTTGAATCATCCCGAAACCATCCTCACCCCCACCCCCGGTCCTTGGAAAAATTGTCTTCCACGAAAACGGTCCCTGGTGCCAAAAAGGTTGGGGACCACTGCTCTATCCCCAGTCCCCCCAGCCCATCTGAGGAACCTCAGGATTGGGTAGCTCCCTGGCCCCCCACCACTCAGGATGCTCCCTTCCTAGCCCAGAGCTCCCTCTCAGGGCTGCAGGGAGCCCACCGTTGCCTCAGTTTCTCTGGCAGCACTGGGTCTGGAGTCCAAAGTGCAAAAGGGTGTGGTGGCTCACCTGTTCCTGGAGGGTCCAAGACAGGGTGGAGATTGGTGGGCAGGTCAGGGGCCGGAGGGAGGATCCTGCAGCTCAGAATCCAGCTCCTAAAGGGTGAGAGAGGGAGAGGAGCCAGGCCCCGGGGAGAGAGGAAGGGAAGACCCAGTGGCTGACTTGGAGGGACCCACAGACAGATACACAGCACAAGAGAGAGACAGGCACACATGGAGGAGAAGGCAAAGACGGGACCAACAGAGGAGAGGAAAAAGAAGAGAGACACCAGGTCAGTCAAAGATAGAGCCAGGAGACACAAGTGACAGAGATCCAGAGGCAGAGAGGCCAACCCTCAGAGAAAGAAGACAGGCAGGTACAGGCAGGCACGAAGATTCCAAGACACTTCCAACAGAAATAGAAGTAGAAAGCAGAGCAGAGACTCCCAAATATGTACCTGCAGACACAGATAAAGCCTAACCCTGGTGTTTTCCAGTGAGAAGACAGGCCACAGAATGCACATGCTTTCACACACTCTGTACTGCCTTATGGGCCTGTTTGGGGGGCAGGGGAAGCTTCCAAACTCTCCAGTCTCTCCACGGTGATCCTCGTAGCCTTGCTAAGTCTGGTATCTTGGGTGGGGGGAAAGAAGTGGGTCTGGGAGTCCCCTGACCTAGGTCCTCCCTATTCTAGGGTCACCATCTCCTCCAACTTCTTGGAGTACATTTCCTGGGTATCTGTGGATTGAGTAAAGCTGGAAGGGAGGGAAAGGGGGCAATTCCCTCACCTATTCCAGTTTTCCAACTTGCTCCCACTCTCTGTACCTCTTGTTTCCAGGACCCCAGGCCGGAACCAGAGAAAGTCTGGGGGTGGGCAGGGTGCCCATGTGGCCTCTCTGGACCATCCTCCTGCTGGTGCTGCCCTTGGGAGGCCTAGGACCACCCTTCTGCCCAAGGGAGACTTTCTGCTTCCTCATTGCCATCATGAAGTTGCTGGTGAGTAGGGAGGGAAGAGCCAGCAGACAGGGGCAGGCTAGTTAGGGAGTGGGTGGGGGGCATGTTGAGGAAAGGCCAGTCTCTCCCCCCCACCAAAATCTGATTTTACTCCCTACCTCGCCATTGTAGGGAAGCAAAAATGATGGTACTCTTTACACCGCAGATGATCTTTTGGTGGGTATCTCATTAGCTCCTTACTGAAGTTGGAAGTTTAGGGAGAGCCCACTAGGCTCAGAACATGCACATGTTAAGGCCAGGAGACAGGCAGGCTGGTATTCTGGTTGTCCAGCTCCTGACCCACCCCAGCCTTGACAAATATATATGGCCTGCATTGTGTCTTCATTGCTGCGCGCAGGCTTTCTCTAGTTGCAGGGAGCTGGGGCTACTCTTCGTTGCGGAGCACGGGCTTCTCATTGCGGTGGCTTCTCTTGATGCACAGCACGGGCTCTAGGCCTGTAGGCTTTAGTGGCTGTGGCACTTGGGCTCAGTAGTTGTGGCACATGGGCTTAGTTGCTCCATGGCATGTGGGATCTTCCCGGACCAGGGCTCAAACCCGTGTCCCCTTCATTGGCAGGTGGATTCTTAACCACTGCGCCACCAGGGACAACAACAAATATATTTTATTCACTGCGGTCTCCAACACCTACTACAGTGACTGGCACATAATCACAACAAAGGATGATGGTGATGATTACAGCTATTCTCATATAGTGCTTACCCTGTGCCAGGTACTCGTCAGCATATTAGCTTAATTACTCTTCACACTGACCCTATGAGGTAAACAAGGCCATCATGTATGGATGTGAAGGTGTACACTGCACAAGAATCCCACATCTACAAGGACAGTATTCTCATCTTGGATATATTTGTCAATTTCCAGCAGACGGCAGTAAAGTATCTTGTTCTAACAAAATCAGCACTTAGAAGTACTTTAAGGAAGGAGTGTCTTTTTCTAACTTACACAGGTGCAGTTCCAGTGAAGGTAGGGATTATTCAGAGCTCCACTTTACAGACGAGGAAACTGAGGCTCAGAGAAGTGAAGGGGCTTGTCCCAGGCCACAAGTCAGAAATTGTGGGGGTGAGGACTTGGGATCAGTCCTTGCCCAGAGACACCAGATCATTCTGTCCCCACAGGTGTGTCCTGCTGAGGCTCTAGGCTGCTTCTGGCTGGAGCTGTCTGTGATTGGGTTTGAGGAGGGCCCATCCATGGAGACTGCTGTGTTCCGGCTACAACGCCTATTGGATGCCCTCAGGTCCTGGCTGTGGGTGACTGGCTGGGGCCCTTGTCCACCCTGTGGAGGACACCCTCAGAGACCTGTCCATCTTTTTCTGGCCAAACTCTTGGAGTTATTACAGGGTGCTTGTGCTCAGCATCTGCCCTCAGCACGAACCTGGGAGGTTCGTGGGAAGGATACAGACTCCCTGGTACTCCCGGAGAGGCTGCGTGGAGAGAGGGAGAGGAGATTCGGTCTTCAGCCCCAGTTCCCAAACCCCAAGCCTTCTCCTTCTAGGCCAGAGGATCTCACCCAGAGCCCCAGAAGCCAGGGGAAGAGGAGAGAAAGTAAAATATAAGGTGAGATCTGAAGCCTGAAGTCTCTGACCTACTGGGGCAGAGGGTTGGATAAATTGCCCACACCTGTCCCCATTGTTCTCCCTCTCTTTCAGATACTCCCTCCTCTCTCCTCTTCCAGGAAGGGACCGAGAATTGCACACCTGTCCTCCAAACTCATCCCCATCCCTTGAGGACAGGAAGAGTCTTGTGGCTCACATTCCTGGCTGCAAATAGTCACCACGTGGAAAACTTTTTTTTTTTTTTTTGCGGTAAGCGGGCCTCTCACTGTTGTGGCCTCTCCCATTGCGGAGCACAGGCTCCGGATGCGCAGACTCAGCAGCCATGCCCCACGGACCCAGCCGCTCCGCGGCATGTGGGATCTTCCCGGACCGCGGCACGAACCCGTGTCCCCTGCATCGGCAGGCAGACTCTCAGCCACTGCGCCACCAGGGAAGCCCTGGAAAACTTTTAAGTGATGCTGATGGCCAGGTCCCAGCCCAGAGAATTTGACAATTGGTCTCTGGTGAATCCTGAACATCTATATATGTATTTTTTGAATATTTGAATTTTATTTATTTTTTTATACAGCAGGTTCTTGTTAGTTATCTATTTTATACATATTAGTGTATATATGTCAATCCCAGTTCATCCCACCGCCCCCCCACCCCCTGCCGCTTTCCCCCCTTGGTGTCCATACGTTTGTTCTCTACATCTGTGTCTCTATTTCTGCCCTGCAAACCGGTTCATCTGTACCATTTTTCTAGGTTCCACATATATGCGTTAATATACGATATTTGCTGAACATCTATATTTTTAAAATCAACTTTATTGAGACATAATTTACATATATTTTTTAAAATATAAATTTATTTATTCATTTATTTAGTTTTGGCTGCGTTGGGTCTTTGTTGCTGCGCGCAGGCTTTCTCTAGTTGCGGTGAGCGGGGGGCTACTCTTCATTGAGGTGCGCGGGCTTCTCATTGCGGTGGCTTCTCTTGTTGCCAAGCATGGGCTCTAGGCATGCAGGCTTTGGTAGTTGTGGCATGCCGGCTCAGTAGTTGTGGCTCGCGGGCTCTAGAGCACAGGCTCAGTGGTTGTGGTGCATGGGCTTAGTTGCTCTGCGGCATGTGGAATCTTCCTGGACCAGGGCTTAAACCCGTGTCGCCTACATTGGCAGGTGGATTATTATTATTATTATTTTTTTTTGCGGTACTCGGGCCTCTCACTGCTGTGGCCTCTCCCGTTGTGGAGCGTAGGCTCCAGATGCACAGGCTCAGCGGCCATGGCTCATGGGCCTAGCCGCTCCACAGCATGCGGGATCTGCCCGGACCGGGGCACGAACCCGCGTCCCCTGCATTGGCAGGCGGACTCTCAACCACCGTGGCACCAGGGAAGCCCGGCAGGTGGATTCTTTTTTTGTCGTACGCGGGCCTCTCACTGTTGTGGCCTCTCCCGTTGCGGAGCACAGGCTCCGGACGCACAGGCTCAGCGACCATGGCTCACGGGCCCAGCCGCTCCGCGGCATGTGGGATCTTCCCGGACCGGGTCACGAACCCGTATCCCCTGCATCGGCAGGCGGATTCTCAACCACTGCGCCACCAGGGAAGTCCCTACATAGTTTATTTTTAAGCTTTGGTTACCTTGTATACAAACTAGGGGTATCTACCTCCTAGGAATGTTTCAGAGGCTGTGAGATAAAGTCTGATTTATTTGCAAATTTGTTATTATTTGCTAATCTCATGCTTCCTCACGGCTTGGCACACCACGTTAGTGATCTGGACTAAATTCAAGCAAGCACTTATTTCTGGCTAGAAAAGGCCGATCCCAGGGTGTTATAACACTCCGATTTGACCATCCCAAGATGTCTGCTCCACGCTCTACTTTAAGACATCTCTGCCACTCTCAAGATGGCGTCCTGGAAGTGCGTCACCGGGGATGAGCCCCAGAAATCTCGCGTTAGGCGGGGCCAAGTGGTAGGTTCTCGCGAGAGTCACGTCAGTCTCAGCCAGGCGTCGTGTGAACAGCAGCTGGTGCCGAAGGCGGAGGTGGCACCTGAACGGTGAGCGGTTGGGTTGGAGGCCGTGGTGGCAGGCCCGGGAGTCGCCGGAGGACAAGGAGGTGTAGAGACCAGATTAGGGGACTCGGGAGGTATAGCGGGTGGCGTGTGTCGGGGGGTGGTCCCATTTTGGGATCACGGTTGCCGGATCAAGGCTGCCGGAAGTGCGCTTTTTCTTCTCCCCGGGAACCCGAGGGGAAACTGAGGCTCGGAGTGGGGCTCGGAACTGGGGGAAGCGCTGAGGCCGCCGTCTTTTCCTGCGAGCAGAAGATGTCGGACAGCGAAGACAGCAACTTCTCCGAGGAGGAGGACAGCGAGCGCAGCAGTGACGGCGAGGAGGCCGAGGTCTGTGGCTGGGACGCTGGGGGAGGCGTTGCGCTTGGGGACAGGACCAGGGCAGAACGGCCCATGTGGAAGCTTAGCGGGGATCAGAAGGATCTCTGGCCTCTGGGAGCTTCCAGGTTGTCGGGAGAGATAGGGAAGTAGGCAAGCCCAAGTCAAGCAGAGGCTCAGGTGCTGGAGACCCGGGATGTTCCAGGTCCAGTGATTTAACAAGTGATGTGTTTGAAGGACTTGGCATATAGTAAGAACTCACTATTAGTTTTTATATTTAGGTGTGCTCAGTCATTCCAGAAATATACTTCTAGCGTCTACTACATGCTAGACACACTTCTTTACCCTTGGGCTACGCCAGTAAACAAAACAGATTTTTAGAATCTTTCTTTGCTCTGGTGAGGGTAAACAAACGTAACTGAGAAGTAAATCATTTAGTGAGCTAGAAGGCACTCTGGAGAAAAGTAGAGTAGAGAAGGGGAATAGGGAGTGCTGGTTGCACTTTGGGTAGGGTGATCCTGGTGAGTCTGGGAGGGTGACATTTGGAAAAAGATTTGTGAGGTGAGTGAGTGAGTCATGTCATATGGAAGAAGGGTGTTCCAGTAATGGGGAACTGCAAGTGCAAAGTTGGGAGCATGTCTGTGATGTTCAGAAAGTAACAAGAAGTTCAGTTTGGCTGGATCAGAGTGAGTGCAACATAGAAGTAACAGGAGCCAGATCTTGTCGAATCTTAAAGGCTGTGGTGAGGAATTTGTCCTTAACTGAGTGAGATGAAGCCATGAGAAGGTTTTGAGCAAAGGAAGCATGTGATCTAATATTTTGAAAGGATCACTTTAGCTTCAACCCAAAGGGGTCTGTTGAATGTCACTGTTTTAGGAACCAAATAAACATTTCCTGGGACATAGCTGATTTCAGATATTATTTTATTAGCTATTAGCCTGTTTTATTTATTTCTCATTTACTCGTTTGTTGAACAGGTAAATGTTTGAGCATCTATTGCTATGTTCCAGACACTTCCTAGGCGTTGGAGAGAGTGGAGCAAGGCAAATTTCTGCCTTCACAGAGTTTACAGTTAGTAGGCAACAATTACAGACAAAGAGATGGCAGTATGATTATAGAAACGTTAACTTATTGCTTAAGTTAGTTGCCAACACTTGTAGAAATTTCATGTAAAAATCAAGCTCTCTTGCTTTTCTGGGACAATGGGAGGAGCGAGCAATCTGAGTGACACCCCAGCCCTTTTCTCAAGAAGTGGCATCCCTTCTTTAAAGTTAGGAATTTTCTCCAGTTCCCGGGATATATTAATTGCCATTTGTCATCATGCAGATTTAAGAAAAGGAAAGATTTCATAAATCTGTGTTCTGGAAAACATCAGGTAGGTGAAGAGTGCCATAGGTTTCCCTTGAGCTGCCCTACTTATTTACGTTTCCTGTCTGCCCTCTGCAGGCATTTGATTGTCAATCCTTGTTGCGTCCTTTGGGGAGTCCTCAGCTTGCCATGGTGGGAATGGGACAAGAGGGAAGATGACACAAAGGGCCTTTACTTGAAGCTGTCTCATTGAGTCCTTGGTCTCTGACTCATGGCTTCAAGACACTTTGCTTGTGGTTAAAGCCTGATGGTAATGAGACCCTCATGAGCTCTCTGTCTTGAGGTGGAGGTAGTTTTATAAGCAGATGGTTACTCCAGGGGATGCTGAGGACGGACTGTGTAAGAGCACGTTCAAGCCCTGAGGTAACATAGAGATAGTAGTGAGAGCTATCTCCTCAGAAGATGCGGAGCCAGGTTTGGAAAGAAGACTGCTGGGACTGAGCCAGGGGGATGATGACAAGGTTCCTAGAAGTCAGGCTGTGGTCCTCTTGTAGTGTGAGTTGTTAAAGTAAGGGACGTTGTGGGCTAGTTAGGATTCTGTATTAAGCAAATAGAATTGACCCTTGAACATGATGGATTTGAACTGCTCGGGTCCACTTATATGTGGATTTTTGTTCAATAGTAAATTGTACTGCATGATCCAAGATTGGTTGAATCCTGAGATGCAGAACCGTGGATACGGAGGAACCTTGTATTCGGAGGGCTGGCCATAAGTTATGTGTGGATTTTTGACTACACAGAGGGTTGAAGCCCTTGACTTCCATGTTATTCAAGGGTCAGCCTTATTTTTTTAAAGTCATTTTCTGTTCCCAGCCCCAGGCTGGGTGGTGTGTTAGGGACCCAGCAATGCCTGAGCTAGCATGGGCCTTTCACTTAGGGAGCTAGCTCTCGGTGGTCAGGGCTGTGATGGAGGAAGCCCAGAGAGTTGTGAGCCCAGAGAATGTGCCGGACTTTCCCTGGTGGGGAGAGGGCAGGCGTCACTTCCTGGAAGAGAGGGTATTTTTTTTTTTTGGATAATTTTATTCTTTTATTAATCTTTGATATATATATGTATTTATTAATAAAATTCAGAGTTGCTATATGGAGAAATAGCTTTGTACCAATATTGTCTTTGTATGTGTTTATCAATAATGTATGAGATTGCCTCATATGCTCCTTTTCCTTTATTCTCTTGCAGGCAGTAGATGTAGTTATCAGTTGTTTTTAAAATTTCTAGGCAGCCGAAGGACTAACTAGTATCACTTAAATAAAGAAGGCAAATTGTCCCAAAGTAGGAACAATTTACCTTCATTATGGAACATAAAGTCCTCATATGAAGGGGGAAGAATTTCATAGTTAAAAGCTTTGAACTACAGAAGATTTATGAGTAACTATGTATGTTGTTTCCAAGTGGACTCTATAATTAATGTCTAGGGGTTATCTTTGGTATACAATGGATTTTGATTTTTTAAATATTATTAGATAATATACAAAAGAATATATTTAATTGTATGTAAGTTATGAGAAATAATAAAAAGGAGAGGGTATTTTGATTGAAGTATGAACAAGAGGCAGAAGAGAAAGGCTTTTTATGC